ACTCAAACCCATTCAAACCCTGCCTTGCAGAGCCGCGTGCTGGTGGTTTTCCCCTCCCTCGTGGAAGGGCAGCAGTTCCCCGCTGTTTATAGAAAGCTTCAAGGAACTGTTGAGCAAAACAATAGCTTTTTTTTTTGGTTTAGTTTGGTTTGATTTTTCCTCTTTTCCTCCAAAGGGCACTTCCCCTCCTGTCACCACGCAGCCCGGAGCTGCTGGGGAGGGTGAAGGTGCCCAGACCCCCACCCAACAGCAGCATCCTCCCTCCCTCCCTCCCCCCCTCCCTCCCCGGGCTGGGAAAGCCAAGGGCAAACGGCCACAGGGAGGCGGAGACCCGCGTTAGGGACATGATTCTCTTTCTCCTTGGAGAAGCCTTAATCCCGAGCCATTAATAAAACCAGATTTCATGCTGCACACAAAGATTAAGCGAATTTTGCCTTGTCTCCGTGGGCAGTATCAGAAATACAGCTGCCTTTGTACGTTAGGGCTCTGCTGCGCCAAGCCACTAATGCTGGCAACAAAGCTCGAGGGTTTTAATCACCTATCAAAGAGTCCCCCAGATTGTTGGAGGTATTTTTAGGATTTACAGGTAAGAGCCACATTCATCGATTCATCATGATTTAACTACTGCACATCACCCCCTCCTCCTCCGCTGGCCCTGCAGCCCCCATAGCCGGGTTAGCCGGGAGGGCTGTGCCTGCTGGCACCCCCCCTGCCCTGCATTTGGGGATGAATTTTGGGGTAGCCGGTCCCTGGGGCTGCTGCCTCGGTGCCTGCTCGCCGATGGAGTGAGCTGGAGCTCGCGGTGCAGCGTTGCCAGGCTCTGAGCAAGGTTTTTGACTCGTCGCCTGGATTTCACGGCGCTTGGTGGGAAAGGCTCCAGCTTCCCCTTCGCTCTGACCAATGCGTTCCCTCTGGGAGAGTTGTTTTGGTGCCCTTTGCCCCCCAGCCAGCTTTTATCCTCCTTCCTTTAGAGGTGAGGGATGAACTGAGCCATGAGCTGAGCTGGAGGGAGCAGCCCAGCTCTGATGTTCAGGGTGAGCGGGAGGGAAATCCTTGGGCAGCCTCGGCGCGGAGCCAGAGGAAAGACCACAACCCACACCATTGAGATCCTCCGCTCTCCCCTTGAGCACAGGAACACCAACCCCCTTCAAAAAAGCTTCAAAAAAGCTTCAAAAAAGCCCCTGTTGGGAGCAGGTGGCTGGAAAACACCTCACTGCTCATGGAAAGCAAGGTAGCAGCTGGGGAGCCAGGGACTCTGGAGAGGCAGCAATTAGAGCATGTGGTTTTACGAAGCACCCAACAGCTCCCGGCATGGGGGGGGCTGGAGATGCCACCCCAGCCCCCAAATCCCCCTGTGCAAGAGAGCGGGGAAGTTTCCCCTCACCGGGGTCTCCCCAGAACACACAGACGGACCCCAAGAGGCACAAAGCTGCTTCCCGGGGGTGCCCAGGAGGGTTCAGCACCGTGGGGCAACCACCGCACCGGGCACAGCCCTTGTGGCACGAGGTTTTCCCACGGCCGGGTGACACCACGGCAGAAATGCCCCCAACGTCGCTGCACAGCCAGACCCCGACCCCAGCGGGAGGAAGGAGAGAGCTCCTCAGACCAGCAGAACAGAGGGCTCTGAAGCATTTCTAGATGTACGTATATATCATATATTTGTGTGTGTAACTATACATAGATAGCTGCATACTTACACACCCGCACAGGTAAATATTTATAGATACTGACCTCTTCAGATTAAAGTCCAAGGCACTTTTTACAGTGAACAGGTTAAAGCCATAGTTTAAAACATGCCTGTTTCTGGGTACAGCTCGGGTTTATGGCGATGCTGTGGGGACAGGCCAGTCCCTGCTCCCTTCCCCAGCCCAGAGACCCGGCCACCGTCAGCGGTGCAGAGGGAGGGATGTAAACCTGGGGCCGCATCCTGACCACAGGGACGTGCAAGCGGGTCCCACTGGGAGGTGTTGGAGCATCTGAGACCTCAGCGGGGGGAAGAACACTTTGGGCAGAAGAAGGAGCAGAGCTGGGTGTGCATCTTGCAGTGCCCAGAGCACCAGAGCCCCGGCCAGGAGCACCCAGTGGGCAGGGGGTGCCAGAGCCCTACCCGGTGCCCCACGGGGCTCCCAGGTGGCTCATCCCACAGGGAAAGAACTCATCCCGCAGAGCAGCTTTTCCTCTCCCCTGCAAAAATCCCTCTCCACCACCTCTGCTGCCTTTGAGGGAGCCAGGTGAGGAGCTGGGACCTGTGCAGAGCCTTGGAGTGGCATCTTCCCCTTCTTAAACTGCTGAGGAAACACCTTCCCCACCAGCAAACCTACCTGGTGGCCATCACACAGGGCTCCGATGCTGGGAGATACTGGGCCGGAGAAGCCCGAGGGAGAGTGATGTGGGGGGGGCCAAGCACCCCAGAAATCCCCAGGCACCCCCAGACCCAGCTGGCAGCAGGTGGGGGGGGGCTCAGCCCTGCTCTCCCGGGGGGAACCAGCCCCTCTCCTCTAGCAGAGCTGGTCCCAGCCCTGTCCCCAACGAGGGGGAGCTGCTCCCAACAACTGCCCCACAAGCGGTGACAAATGTGTGGGGCAGGAGCAGCCCCAGCCAGGCAATGCCAGGGGACCACCTCCTGCCAGCCGGGGTCTGTGGGGGGGTTTCAGGTCTGGGGGCCAGCAAGGGGCCACTGGAGCTCATTGCTGCTGGGACCTGACCCTACTGGGTTTAACTGGCCTGGGAGGGTCAGGCCAGCACAGCTGTGACACTAATAACAGTGATAACGATGCCAGCACGGCAGTGACAGCCATTCCGGTGGGGAAGAGCTGGTGTGGGGGCTTTTAGGTTTCCTCTGGACAACAGCAGCAGGAATTGGTCCCGTAGGTGCTGCTCGTTCCTGGACGAGCGGGAAGATTGGCCGGGAAGAAGCATCGGGGCTGCAAAAGAGCATTTTAAGACATTTGCCCAGCAATCTTGATCCAATGGGGATCAGGTCCAGCAGCTCAGGGGCTGGAGGGAAGAGAGGAGGGCATCAGCTGGAATCAATTCAGGCTGGGAGGGAGCAGCCCCTGCAACCTCATCGCATTTTTCACGCTCAGGGCTGGGCTTCGTCCTCCCTCACGCCTGAGATTGAAGGGAGCAAAAGCCACAGCTCCCCTGGGCACAGACCCGTCCCGGGGCTGCGTTCCCTCAGGATGGTTCCCCCGGGAGAGCGGGATCACTCCTGGGAGCGCAGCCCTCGCCTGCGGCAGCGCAGGTCACCGGGGCAGGGCTGCCCTTACCCCGTCCCAGAAAGGAGGTGTTGACCTGAGAAGACAAAGCGAGCGCGCTCTTTCTGCCTCTGCCTCCTGAGCAAACCCCGCAGGGCTCCACGGCCGGGGACCCAAAGCAGGCAGGAGCCATCCTCCCCGCCTGCAGCCCCCCGGGCCAAATGCAGAGCCCCGTTTCTGGGTGGCCAGCACGGCACAGCCCGGCTTTGCCAAGAAGGAGGATGTTTGCCCCTTCACGCTTTCCCAGGCACAAAGGATTCCCCAGCTCAAAGCCTGCCCGGATCCTGCCCGTGCTGAGCCCAAATGTGCCAAAAGCCCGGCTGGAGGAGGGAAGAGGTGAGCCCTGCACCAGGAGAGCCTCCCTCCTGGGGGAAAAGGAGAATTTTGGTTCTTGCACAGCTTGTGCCAGGGGAGCAGAGTCCCTCCTTCAGCTGGAGGAGAAAACCAGGGACCAGGGGGGGACAACAAATGGCTTTCCAGAAACGCTGAGATCCCAGGAGAAAAGCAGGGGGGGGCAGGCCTTTCCCTAGGGAGAAGCAGAGATGCGGTGCCACTGGGCTCCGCAAATCCAGAGCTGCTTCCAGGCAATGGGAATGGAGAGCTGGGGCGGGGGGTAAAGGAGAAGGATGGTGGGAAGCCTCTCTGGCCAACCCCTCTCTGCCACCCCTGGCCTCCATCCTCACCGGGAGCAGCGGCTGTACTCAGAAACAGACATTTTTTTGGCAGCAGGCTGGCGCCGCTGCCTGCTGACAACCGGGTTGGGTACAAAACCATAATTGAAAGTTACAATAACCTTTATAATATAGCAATATATTTCATAGTTAAAATAAACTATTATGCTTTCCCCTATCGTTAAAAAAGAAGCGAGCAGTACAGAGGCAAGATGCAAACCCAGGTCGAAGCTCCTTAAGTCTGGACAGAAACGTCTGTGAGTTTGCAGAGAGGACGTGGTATTTTTCTGGCGTTTCTAGGACGTTTCCTCGCAGGCAGCGCAGGGAGGAGGTTTGTGGAGAGAAAAAAAAAACCCATCGGCTGTGCCGAAAGTGAGACTGGCTGTGGCTGGGAGGGGGGTCCTGGGGGGGCTTTGGGGTTCAGCCCCGTTGGTGCGTTGGGTCGGATGCTGCGGGAGGTCAGCATCTCTTTGGGATTCTAACTCTGCGTCGCAGTTTTGTTCTTGTGCTTTTCCTCCACCTCAGTTGCTGGTCCCAGCTCTTCTCTCCATCTTGTTCCGATTCCCTTTGTGGCCGCAGGCTCCAGAATGATCTCCTCAGGTGTGCGGGACCATCTACCGGAGCTGTGTACCGGAGCCCCAGCCGCTGCCGGGAAGGGAAGCTCCAGGTCGGGCTCCCAAATTCTCCTGGGTGTGAGCTGGGGGCTGCCCCCGCGCCGAGGCCACTCCACTGCTGGGGACTGGGAGCCACTCGCAGGGAGCAGCAGCTTCAGGGGGGCACCCCTGGACCCAGAGGCCCCAACGCAGGCTGGACTGCGCTGGGGGATCCCCCCAGGCCTGCCCTCACCCTGGCCTCGGGGCAGCTCTTCGGTCCTGGTAGTGGGGCTGGGCGGGGGGTTAGTCCCAGTGCTGGCCTCCGCAGGGTCTGTGGGCCTGGTGCTGGGGGTGGAGGGTCCAGCGCTGGTGTTGAAGCACTAGTAGGGGTGTAAGTGCAATATGGGGGTGCAGGGAGGGGGATGAGTGGGATGCAGGGGGCGGGATGGGGTGCAGGGTGCGTGGGATGCAGAGGTGCAGGGGATGCAGGGTGTGGGGTAGAGGGTGCAAGATGCAGGGTGTGGGATGAAGGGGTACACAGGATTCTGGGTGTGGGATGGGGAGGCAGAGGATGCATGTGCCCAGGATGCAGGTACCCGAGATGCAGGGGGTGTGATGAGGGATGCAGGGGGTGGGATGGGGGTGCAGGGTGCCTGGGATGCAGGGTGCAAGGTGCAGAGCACAGGGTGCAGACCCAGGGCCACAAGGTCTCAGGCTGGGGGGGAAGGGGGGTGTTTGGGGTGCAGGTTGTCCAGGGGGGTCTAGGGTGCGAGGTGCAGAGATGACACTGGCCCAGCCCAGCTCCTGTCGGCCCTGGTGAAATCCCACTGGAGCAGCAGCTCTGCCCCAAGACAAGGGTCTCTCACACCAGTTTCAATCCTGAAGCTCTCGCCGCTTCACTCCCCTTCAGTGCCCCGGGTCCCAGCGAGCCGACAGCGCCTGCTCTCCTCTTACTCTGCTTGATTTCCCAGACTTGGTCGTTTGCCCGTAAGGAGGTTCCCGCTGGCGATATCGATTCTCGAGCATCAATACTTCCTCTGGCTCTCTGACGCCCCAGGAATCATCTCTGCACCGAACCCCGCTCTTGCCCAACCCCCGGGAAGAGGTGCGGAAGCGTTTTTCTCTGCTGGCTGCCTGCAGGCCAGTGGAGAAGCTGCATTTCAGGCTCATTCTCAGCATTTGCAACGTTTTCTCCATTGCCACACTGGAAACCTTCTTACAGAGCTGGGCAGAAGCTTCTGCCGGGGAGGTAGGGCTGAGGGTCACCTGTAGGCACACGGGGAGCAGCAGCAGGGCTAAGAATAGACCTTGGGGGGCTGCCAAGGCAGCGAGGTTCTCCCAGCCATCCTGCCCAGCCTGCAATTACACTAATGACAAGAGCTTGGAAGAGGCGGGAAGGAGAGCGGCTCGTTCCCAGAAGGACCAGAAAAGGCTGGCAGCGATGGCCCCGTGCCTCCTCTCCTCCCCAAACGCCACGGGAACGACCACGGCTGGGCCACAACGGGCTCAGCACAGCCCCCTCTGCAGCACCGGGAGCTCGTTCTGCTGCTCCCCTGCTGTCGCCTCGCAGCCTTCCTCCTCCTCCTCCTCCTCCTGCCACTGGCTGAGCTGGGGGGGAGCGCTCCTCGCTAACTACTGCTTGTTTTCTCTGTAACTTTAATTGCAGGGCACGAGGAGTAAACCACCTACCACCAGCAGCAAGTGGAGTTTTGCACACAAATTCCTCGGCATCGGGCTGGTGCGTCCCTGCCTACACGCGCACGAAATCCAGCGTTATTTATGGAAGGGAAAGAGTTACAAAGGAGAAGATTACAGGCTGAGTATACCTGGAGTAACACAGTGACTTTGATTACAATTACTGACACTGCTGGGTGAGGTGTAATTAATATCGCGGAGTAATTACATGGTTACTTCATCTGTTTAAAAATATATAAATAGCCTCTGCTGAGTTTTCATTGAAAGCAGCAAACACCAGCCCCAAAGCCAGAGCCCAGCAGCAGCAGCCAGAGCCCGAACGCGACCCTGGGGCCGAACTGGGGAGGAAAAAGGAGAAAATGGTGAAAGCAGAACATAAAATGGCTGGTTCCAGAAGTAGCCAGGTGATGCCGAGGGTACCTCAGGAAGCTGAATGCCAGAAACAAAACCCAAAAAAACCAAACCATGAGGGGCAGGCACTGCCGAGCACCGTACCGGTGCCAGATGGTGCTGCTGCTCTCCCCCGAACCCAGCAGAGACAGCACGAAGGCCATGGGGCTTGGTTTTAAACAGATGAAGTGCCTGCCCCCGCTACTACATCACTTGCCCCCGAGCCCCTGCTCGGCCACGGTGGATTTGGTGCTGCCGGCTGGGCTCCGGCGTGGCCGGTGCTGGCGCGAGCGGAGGTGGGCATCGCTGATGGGGTTTCTCATCCAGCAGTTCTGAGGCTGCCCCAAAGAGCCCCGTTGGCTTCCCAAAATGCTTGTGGGGAGGGGGGAGCTCCTGGGCGGGTGGCGATGTGAGCACCTGGAGACCCCCCCCCCGGTGCCCGGGCTGGCCTGCCAGCCCCGTCATCGGCCATCGCCGCATCGGCCGGGGGCTGCCCGGCCCCGCATCCCCACACGCTTTAGGCACTGCTTTCCTGGCTCCAGCACGTGTCTCCAGGCAGAATGTGACACCGAGGACCAGAAAGAAGAAGTGTCCCTTGTTCTGCCCGGGCAGAAAATACTCACAGCTCCAGAGAACCCCCCCCCGGCAGGTTACGGCCAGAGACTGTCACCCGCCCGGCAACGCACGGGGGGGTTCACGTGGGTCCCGGTAAGGAGATGGGATGGAGCGTGGGCAGCGAAGGTCAGAGCCTGTGCAAGAAACCACCACGTTGGCATCTGCCCGGCGGTGCTTTGCGATGGTGGGAGGGGGTGGGGGGGGCGAGGGGAGCGCCCCGGCCCCCGGCGGGGTCCACGCAGGGGAGGAGAACTTCTCCCTCTGGTGTCTCCGTTGCTTCAGTGCTTCTGACTTGTTTTGTTTTGTTTTGTTTTCAAATGTGAAGACCTGAGATTGAGCGTGGGTTTCTCCGTCCGCCACCGGACGCCGCGGCGCGGGCTCGCCCGAGGCGTCACCTCCCGTCCCCTTCCTTCACCACGTGTAGAGGCACCTGAACGGGGATGCGATTCCCGAGACCAAGGCGTTGGCAAAGCTCCGAGCGTCGCTCGGCACGGATGGTCCCACCGGCTTTGGCCGAAGGGTCCTGTGGCGGTTCGAGGACCAGAAGAAAGTCCATGGAGACCTCGGGACCTGCGCGGAAACGCTTCCCCTGTCCATGGAGGATGCGGGGGGCGGGGGGAACTGCGTTTTAGCAGCTGCTTGAGCTCGTGTATGGGGTGGGGAAGGAGGTGGAGCTGACCCCGATGGGGCTCTCGGAGAGGGGCGTTTGGGGGGTGCCCACAGGCACGCCGACCCCCCGCGCCTCCAGGACGGCGGCGAGCAGGCGCTGCTGCTGCTGGCGCAGCATGTCGGCCATCAGCAGGGGCAGGGAGTTGAAGCTGGCGCTGAGCTGCTCCAGCTTGGACTCCAGGCTGCCGATCTGCTTCTCCAGGTCCTCGCTGCGGTCGTTGAGCTCGGTGATGAGGTCATACATCACGTTCTGCATCTATGGAGAGGGACAGGGGGGACAGCAGAGGGGTTAGTGCCATTGCTGGGTTAGTGCCACCACCAGCACCAAGCCCTCTAACCCCTTCCGGCAAGCAAAGCCCAGAGAGCCACCCAAATCAGAGAATCATGGAATGATTTGGGTTGGAAGGGATCTTAAAGACCACCCAGTCCCCCCCCTGCCCTGGGTAGGGCCACCTCCCACCACACCAGGTTGCTCCAAGCCCCCTCCAACCTGGCCTTGAACCCCTCCAGGGATGGGGCAGCCACAGCTTCTCAGGACAACCTGGGCCAGGCTCTCACCCACCTCACACCAAAGAACTTCTGCCCCACATCTCAGCTCCATCTCCCCTCTTTCAGCTTCAAACTCTCCCCCCATCGCTCCCCTCCTTGATCCACAGTCCCTCCCCAGCTTTCCTGGAGCCCCTTGAGGGACTGGAAGGGGCTCCAAGGTCTCCCCGGAGCCTTCTCTTCTCCAGGCTTGAACCCCCCCAACTCTCTCAGCCCCCCCTCCCAGCAGAGGGGCTCCAGCCCTCCCAGCATCTCCGGGGCCTCCTCTGGCCCCGCTCCAACAGCTCCGTGTCCTTTTCTTATGTTGGTAGCCCCAGAGCTGGAGGCAGCCCTGGGGGGTTCCCCCCGGGAGGGCAGGGGGGGCGAACCCCCCCCCCCCCAGCCCTGCTGGCCATGCTGCTGGGGATGCAGCCCAGGGGGCTTGTTGGGCTATCAGCCCACAGTGCTGGGGTGTGTTGAGCTTCTTCCCCTCTGCCCCCACTCCCAAGTCCTTCTCCTCAGGGCTGCTCTCTAGCCATTCTCTGCCCAGGGTCAGCCCGTTCCAGGTGCTCACAGGGCACCGTGACCCAGCTTGGCTCACCCCGGGGACATTAAAGTGAGGAAACACTGTCTCTGTGCAGGCAGAGGGGCAAGGGGCGTCCAGCCCTGTGCTGCCAAGCAGTGGTACCCCCGGCTGGGGCTGCGTAAGGGGGTGTGGGGAGCAAAGACCTTTCCAGGAAGCGGGTTGCAGCCCCACCAGCCCCTGGTGTGTGTCTGTGTTTCTCCTCCTGCCTCCATCCCACGGCAGCTATTCCCCGCTGACATCCACCGCACGGAGCACACCGTGGTCAGCCAGGGCCGCTTCAGTTTTCCCAGCTGAAGAGAAACACTTGGGCAGCCCGGCCGAGCCGCGAGGTCGCAGTGGGGACTTGCCTTTGAGAGGTCGACCAGGGTGTTGGCTTGGTCGCTCAGCTTCCTCTGTTCCATCTTCACGCTCCGCAACCTGGGGAGAAGGAAAGAGCAAGGCAGCTGCATCCCCTCCCCAGCTGCAGACCTGCCTGCATCCTGGGCATTGGGAAATTGTCCCCATGCCCCGGCCAGGGACTGGACCACGATTCCCCTGATGCTGGGGCTCAGCATCACAGAACCACAGAATGGTTTGGGTGGGAAGGGACCTTAAAGCCCACCCAGTCCCCTCCTGCCCTGGGCAGGGCCACCTCCCACCAGCCCAGGTTGCTCCAAGCCCCCTCCAACCTGGCCTTGAACCCCTCCAGGGATGGGGCAGCCACAGCTTCTTGGGGCAACCTGGGCCAGGCTCTCACCACCCTCACACCAAAGAACTTCTGCCCCACATCTCAGCTCCATCTCCCCTCTTTCAGCTTCAAACCCTTCCCCCTCATCCTATCCTCCACCCGCCCCCATCCCCCTGCCCAGCCTCTTACTGGTGAATGGCTTGGAGGAACTTCCTCTGATGCTTCCTGACTTTGGCATGGTCGATCTTCTTCAGCAGCTTGGTGTGCTTATAGATGAGCCACGTTTCCCGCAGGACATTGGCCGCAGCGTTCTTGATCTACAAGAGGAGAGTCGGCCGCGGGTCACTGGCCCCGCAACGTGAGATTTCATGGAGACGCCGGGCTGGATCTGCTGGGAGCCACCAGTTTGGGAGCTGGTGCTGCAAGAGCCCTTCACTCCCCCCAGCCAGAGCGAGGTGCTCAGATCCGCTCCCACGTGCTCTCCTGCCTCTTTGCAAGGGATCAAGGGCGGCTCAAACAGGAGCAAGAGCTGCCCACACCGAGCAGCAGGTCCCAGCCCCTGGTGCTCCCCACCCTTCCCTGCACTGATGCTCTGCCACTGGGCTCCTCGCCCCCACCCCCGAAGCTGAACCCTAAGCCTCGAGAAAAAGGAAAAAAAAAACAACCCCAAAGTTTTTCTCGATTCCTGCATCCATCTGGCACTCTTGGCAGGTCCCAGCTGGGCTGCCGGCACGAGGACACGGCTTCCGCAGGCTCCCCGGCCCTGCTGCTCACTCCAAGATGAATTGGCCGCCGTCTGCCTGGCACGGGGCCCGTGGATCCATCTCCACGGCTGGGGGAGCAGGGCCAAACGGCTGTTTGCTTTCCCAGCCTGGCCACGCCGAAACCCCCGACTATCCCGGGGGCATCAGGGCTCCGGCCGGCACGTGGCCCTGCTCTCCGGAGTGACACGGGGTGCCCCGGCCACATCCCAGCACCGTCCCAAACCCTTCCAAAGGCTGCACCGACACTCGCTTTGCCACCATTCCCTATAGAAAATATCACTCCTGCCGCCAGTGTGCAGAGCCCATCCCACCCCACGGTGCTGTTGGGTCACCGAGGCTTTGCCATGAGGAGGCTGCTGAGACCAGAGACCTCCCACGAGCTACCAGGGAGGTAACACCAGACCCACTGCAGCCTCTGGGTCCCTCCCATGGATGGAAACCACAGGAGCCTCACAGCACAGCTCTCATCTGGTTGTCTTCCCGACATGGAGCTAAGTGAGATCATTCTCTGCAAGAGAAGGGAGCCCGTATCCTCCCAGGGGGAAAGAAAAATGGGCTTTTTTCCCCTCGTTGGTGCGGCCAAGCATCCTGCATCACCCAAATCTCTGGTACAGAGCTGGAACCGTTTGCCTTCACCATAAAGCTGGCGCCTCCACTGCATCCAGGGCACACCTTCCCACCATGGGACCCACACCCAGGGGTGCCAACACCTTCTTTCCCCCATGGGACCTGCAGGACCCACACCCAGGGGTGCCAACACCTTCTTTCCCCCATGGGACCTGCAGGACCCACACCCAGGGGTGCCAACACCTTCCTCCTGCCACAGTTCCCGGCATCCCCATCACGGGGCACATCCCCCCACCCCCCACAGGGCCTTACCCGCTTCGTCAGCTGTGTGTCCATCATGAAGTTGTGGACGTGCTTCTCGGCTTTGGTGAGCTCCAGCTTCCTGGCCACCACGGCCACCACCAGTGCTGTGCAGCCAGCGCCCTGTGCGGGGACATCGTGTCGTTCATCACCCTCCAGCAACCTCGGGCGACAGCAGTGCTCCCGCTCCCCCCATCACAACCCCCTAATTAACTGAAGCTCCACGGGCCCCACACCCACATCATGCTAATGAGGAGATATGTTTGTGCTAAATGCCAGGGAATGGTCTGCAGAGAGGCCCTTGCTTATACTTATTGTTATAACAACCAAGGGCAGCCAATTTTCGTTATTTGCCCCTTAGAGGGTCGGAAATGGAAAAACATAGAGGGGTCACATCTGTGGGGAGGAACGGAGAGGACAGGTGACCCAAACCTGACCAACAGGGTATTCCATCCCATCTGCCCCATGCTCAGTGTAAAAGCTGAGGGATCAAAGGGTCAACTCTCTTCCTGCGATGGCCGACGTCAAAGAGGACCCTGTCTGTTCATCTGCCTTTGATCCCCATCCGTGTGTTCCTGACTCCAGAGATGGAATCCAGTTCCCATCCATTGCTGAGTCCAGTCTGGGACTTCCCCAGTGCCTGCTGGTGATGGGACTGTCATCTTGGGAGCTTGATACGGTTTTGTATATGTATATATATAGTATCTATTCCATTATTTTGACGGTTGGACAAGATGATCTTTGAGGTCCCTTCCAACCTAGAAGATTCTGTGATTTTCTTCTCTCTTTTTTATTTTAACATTAATTTTTCATTAAAATAGTTTAGTTAATTCTAAACTTTTCAATCTCCTTATCTCTTCCTCTCCTCTTTCGGGACGGGACGGGGGGGAAGGGCCATCTGTCGGTTGGGTTGCGGTGATTTCGGCTGAAACCACAACAGCCTCGCTTACCGGTGCCACCACGGAGCAGGGACCTGCCCCATGCCGTGCCCCGTGGGACGGTGAGAGGGGACCGGGGAGGAGAGCAGTGGGGAAGCACCGGGCGCCCTGGGGGAGCGCGGGGAAGGGGAGGCCCAACTCAAGAGCCCCCGAATCGCCACGTCTCCCAGCAGCAACAGCTGGGAGCTCGCTTATCCCGGTGATTAGGGCCAGATCTGCCGGTAGCCGTCATCTCCAGCGTGTATTTGCCTTTGGAAAGCAAAGGTGCCAAGCCCCGGCTCCCCACGGAGCTCCTGCACTCTGCCTGTCGCTGCCCACACCAGATGAGCTGCTCCCCCCTCCTGGCACTCTGGCAGAGACCCACGATCCTGGCAAACGCTCCTTAATTTATTAAAGAGTCATTAATTAACATCACGCTCTGAGCTGAATCCTTTAGCATCCCCGAAGGTCCCTGCTGTGTGCTCTCTCTCAGCTCCCATCACTTCCCTCTTCATGGGGGGGGGGGCCGCCCCCGGTGCCACCGTTTGGGGACCCCAGGGGTTCCCCTGGCCCTGGCAGTCGCAGGGGGGGTCCCCATCCCTGTGCCGGATGGACACTGAGAAGGGGGGACACTTTGCCAGATGGTGCCTTGGTTCCCTGGGGGGGGGAGCTCCAGGAGCCCCCGGCACCGGGACCCCCTTGGCTGAGCTGGCGGCTGCTCCCCCGCGCTGGGAAACGCTGTGTCCCTCCTCCCAGGGGCGATTTTCTCCCTCACTTGGTTCCTGTCACCAGCATCAGCCTCGCTGGTCTCCAGACCTCATGCGGGGCAGATCAAAGACATGAAGATAATATAAAATTAATACCCGCCGGCGGAGCTGCCTCAGCCGAGAGCTCTCGAGGGGCACAGAGCTGAGCCCAGCCGGTGCCGGGTGCCAGTTCGGGCTGTCCTGGCTGGAACAGGGACAGCTCTGTCCCCAGGGCCTGGCAGCTGAGGGGGGCAGAGCCGAGGGGCTGGGGCTCAGCTGTGACCACGCAGACCTCGGCCGTTCCTTTGGTGAAAGCCCCACAAGCCAGGACATCTCACAGGCGGCTGGGAAAAGGTATGCTGGAGGCCCCAGAGGACGGTGACCTTCTGTCCGTGAGGAAACGAAGTCACGGCGAAGAGGTGACACCAGGAGAGCGTGGGGGGGTGGAGGGCTCCCAGCTGGTCCCAGCTCTCGGCAGGAGCCGGCAGCATTTGGGATCGCTCCGGGCGATGGAAGCCAGGTGGTGTCAGCAGGGATGGCCAAAGGATGCTCGGGGGCCCCTCTGCTCCCTGGGGACATCCCTGACCCCGCCGCGGTCCAGCATGCCCCCACTCTCACTGAAATCCACCCCAAATTCAGCAGTGGGGACCACGGGGTGGTGGACCGGCGGGTGTCCCACGCTGCGCCCCGTGGGACTGCACCATCCAGCCCGCACCATCACCGTCACCTCCTTCACCAAACCACCACATCCTGCTAATTACTGCGCTTACAGTAATGGCAATTACAGCCCTATCAGCTTCCAGGCTGCGACACCCCAGAGCCGAAGCCGTTACGCCTCGTGCACGGACCAGCCAGATGGGTCCCCGTAAAACCCGGTGGCCACGGTGGGGATGGGCAGAGCCCGTGGGCCGGGCAACTGGCTCAGCAGGGCCCTTACCATGATGCCGGTGAGCAGGCAGACGCCCTTCCCGCAGTAGGTGTGCGGCACCATGTCGCCGTAGCCAATGGAGAGGAAGGTGATGGAGATGAGCCACATGGCCCCCAGGAAGTTGCTGGTTACGTCCTGCTGATCGTGGTACCTGCCAAGGAGACACGGGCATCAGTGTCACCGCAAGGGGATGGGGATGGCTGCGGGGAGCAACGGGGGCACCTGGGCATGGCGGCTTCTCTGGCACGAGGCTGTGCTGTGCCCCAGGGAACAGGGATTAATAACACGGCAGGATGTCCCGTAGTGACAGCGGTTACACAACTCCTGGTGCAGGAAAACCCACATCGACGAAATCAGAGCGAAAACTCAACGGAAAGTGCTTCTGCTTTCGGTCAGACCTGTCACCACATCCCAATCCCGCCGCCTGCGTCCCCGGTGCCACGTGGCGCGGCGGCGAGAGCCGGCTGATGGGAGAAACAGCTGCAGCTTCGCAGAGCCCCTCGACTGCGCCAGCTCGCCCCCGGCATCATCCTCCCCGTCCCCCCCAGCTTGGGCTGAGCCCGCTCCCCCTGCGCCGCCCCGGGGGACGGTGCCGTCAGCAGCCCCGGCAGAACCGCCGCCGAGGGATCCAGCCGAGCCTCCGGCACGCACTTGGCTCTCGGACAGCGCGGGGGAACGGCTCACACGCTCGAGATGAAGCACACGTGGAGCAGCCGCCACTTCGGGGTTGCTGCAAACTTTCCACGGCCGTGTCCCTGCCGAGCTGCGAGGTCAGCGACCGGCCTGGCCAGCCCGGCATCCGGCCGCGGCTCTTCCGGCAAACACGCAACCGGGTCCCCGGGGCCGGTGCGAGCCCTGACAAAGCCCCGTGGGGATATTCCCTGGGGATGCAGCGCTGGCCACCGGCGGCAGAGCAGGGGCTGTCCCAGCCCACAGCGGGACGCAGCCCCGAGCCCCGGGGTGCACAGGGACAGGCAGCACCTTCGCCCTGCCATGGCAGGACAGTCACCCTCCTGCCTGCACGCATCCCGCTCCCCGGCAGCCTTCCCCCAGCCTCCTCACGGAATCGTTAGAGGGAAACCAGATGGAGCTTTTGGCAATCCCCCCCGGTTCATCCCAGCTCCCGGAGCAGTTGGGTTTTCTCCTCTTCCGAAATGTATTTCCCCCCAAGCAACCGGAGACTCAAACGAGACCCTGGTGCATGAGAAAGTGCCCTCAGCAACGGCGAGAGCCGCTGCCGCGCTCCGGGCAGGGCTGGCTCCCCAAAATCTCGGTGCCAGCACTGGCACTCACCCCCCATCCCAGCCAGCGTGTTCCCCTGGGAAAGGCTGAGCCCGTCCCGCAGGATGTGAGCTCTCGAGCCGCGGGGATGACCCCGGGAGCATCATGCTGCTGAAGGGGGTTACGGCGCAGCCGGACAGATGGACGCTTTCTCTTCCGAGAAGCACTTTGAGCAGAAGGAGCTGATAAACAGAGCGGGGACGGCACGTGCCGCGGCCGGTGCAGGCAGGAAGAGGGGCTGTCGTGATCGGTCAGACCCCAGGTTGCTTTCCATTGTCCCCTTGTCTGCTTGTCCCCACCAAGGGCACAGCCAATGCCCCAAGCATCGCCCTGGTCCCGTGCCACACCACCGCCAAGCCGAGCATCGCCGGGATGTTGAGGCAGCAGCGGCTCGGCCAGACCGAGCCCATCGGTTTGGGCAGCCCCGCTGGGGGAGCCGGGGCCGGCTGCACGTGCAGGCACACGTGCGCGCCGTCGGTGGGCAGCCCCGGCAGCACCGCCGGCACCGGCACCGCAGGCAGCTCTGCGTGGCGGCCGGGCGAGCGGGCGAGGTTGCTAAGCGACTCGCTGCCTTGCCGAGAGCTGCGGCCCCCTGGCATGCACGGGAGGATGCCCGGCAGCCATGCTGCGCCTGCGGGCACCAGAGCAGCCCACGGTGCTGAGGGGACGTGCCACAGCCTGGGGAACCACGTCTTGGAGTGGCACGGCCATCTCCAAACCTCCCAGCCCAAGTGGATGCTGGTTGGGGATGGCCCCACAAGCCACAGCAGACTGGTTTGCAGCACCAGTGCAGCAACCCACCGTCGGTGGGGACATGGGGACATGCCCAGGGTGGCCCTTGAGGGAGCTGTGTGGCACCCAGGGCCAGTGCATGGCCCAGGGATGGTGCATCCCTCAGGGACGAAGTGTGTCCCAGAGGTCTTGCATCGCCCCAGGTCGGAGCATCCCCAGCCCGCCCAGGTTCACATCTGCTGCTCTGTAGACAGAGGGAGGTGGCGGCAGCTGCGGTGCCGGTGATCTGCAGCGCCTCGCCTGCGTCATTTCTATTTTTTTTTTGTCCCTAATGGTTCTTTATTTACATTGTTTTTTCCAGCCTGAGCCCCCCAGGTACAGAATCAACCCCCTGCATGTCCACCGGGAGCCTGTCTGCCCGCTCCCCACTTAGGAGGCACAAATAAAAATCTCCCAAACACAATTAAGCAACGCAAAACCATCCAGCACATCCTGAGAGCGTCATTAAGGCAGACAGGAAGGCAAACACAGCCTGTAAAAGCTCGTAAAATCTCAGCATGCCACTCTGCTCTGCTGCCACGGAACTTAAAGCTGCCCGAATGCCCCTCACGGGGTGACCAGCACGAGGAGTCCCACCCCGCGGAAGAGGAGGGGTGGCCTTCCTCTCTCCTTGCAAGGGCCCAGAAGCAAGCTGGGTGGCCCAGGGGACCCTGGGGTGTGATCCCTCACACCTCGGTTCCGAGGATGGCATGAAGCTGCTGCAACCACTTAAGGGGATTCCATACGATTCAACTGATCCACGGCCACCAAATCACAACAAGCGCGTTGTCTCCAGCACTTTCCTGCAGCCCCGGCTGCTTCGATGGCAGCATGGCATCAGTCTCAGCCTCCTGGGGACAGGGATGGCCCCGTGGGGGGACAGGACAGAGGACACCCTGCAGGGGACCTGCCCTCCCCGCCCCGGGACAGACGGGTGCCACCAGCACCTCACACCCCAGCCAGGAGAACCCCCCCCAACGTGGGGTGAGCTGGGGGTGGCCACCGCCCCCCGGTTCCCCTCGGGGGACAAATGGGTGCCAGCATGTCCCCGGGAGACAAAGGCTCAGTGGTCCCCACCGGAGCCAGTCGCCACAGCAACCCCCGCGCCGAGCACGACGATGCCGGCGTGATGCCATCCGGCAGTGGGTTTGTCACCGCGGTGTTGTCATGGCAGTCGCTCGCAGCGGTGCCAGAGCCCGAGCCATGAGCTGCTGCTCGCCAGCCTCGTGGCACCACGGTCTCTCCCCAGCTCCCGCTGCTCCCCACATCCCCCACCCGCCCTCCCGGGGCTCCCGCACCGTCCCCGCGCAGGGGCACCCTGCCCCAGGCCCCGCGCTGCGAGGACAGGGCTGTCCCTGTCTCCGTCTCCTGCGGGGACAGGGGCTCAGTGGTGGGAACCCGCAGCTGCTGAGCCCCCGGATCCCTCTCATCTGCCAAGCATCCCGAACGGCTGAGCATCCCAAACCACTGCACATCCCAAACCACTGAGCATCACAAACCACCACACATCCCAGAGTGGCCAGGGCTGGAAGGGGCCTCTGGAGATCACCTTATCCCACCCCCTGCCCAGGCAGGGTCACCCAGAGCAGGTGGGACAGGACACGCATCCAGGCAGGTTTAGAATTTCTCCAGAGAAGGAGACTCCACACCCTCTCTGGGCAGCCTCTTCCAGGGCTCTGCCACCCTCAGAATAAAGAAATCTTTTGTTGTTTTCAGATGAGACATTCCAGTTTGAGCCCATTGTCCTTTTTCCTGTCCCTGGGCACCCCTGAGAAGAGCCTGGCCCCATCCTCTTGCCTCCCTGCCCTTTAGCTCTTGCTCAGCATCGATGGGCTCCCTTCTCAGTCTGCTCTTCTCCAACCGAACAGCCCCAGGTCCCTCAGCCTTTCCTCAGCTCCAGCCCCTCATCATCCTCGCAGCCTCCACTGGACTCTCTCCAGTAGTTCCTAGTCTTTTTTTGAACTGGAGAGCCCCGAACGGGACCCAGTGCTCCAGATTTGGCCTCACCAGGGCAGAGCAGACATTCTGAACCACTGCGCATCCCGAAATGATCTGCATCCCAAACACACACGCACACCCCCTCCCCCGCAGCCCCTCTCACCTCTCGCACACCCGCACCGTCCAGGCAGCGATGATCCAGAGGGAAATGCTGAAGACCAATAGCACCGTCCCGGGGCAGATGGTCATGAGAGTCTTCATGACGAAGCGGGTGTTGAAGTTGATCTTGTTGAGCGCTCCGATGCTGCGCGAGGAGGCGTCGGTGAAGAGCTTGCTGTGCAGCAGCATCACCCGAGCGATCAGGTAGAGGCGCAGGAACATGGGGATGGACAGGATGATGTCCACGTCCGCCTCTGCCCGAGAAGGCGTGTAGGAGAAAGCCAGGCGGGCTGTCCAGAAAAATTTGTACTCCCCAGGAATGGGGTGTATGGCACAAACCAGCATCTCCAGGCCGATGTAGAGGATGCGCTCGTAGGTCATCGCTATCCGCCAGTCGTCAGCTCCGTTGTCGATCACAAAGAGCTGCCGGGATGCAAAACCACACAGTTACTGGTGGCCCTGGCCAACCCTGCCCCACCAGCATCCCACCATGGGCAGCGGGGAGGGCACCAGCACCACAGCCCTGTGGAGCTGGGGACAGCTTTGGCCAGGAGGGCTGGGGATGGATGGGGAAGGAGAAGGTGTGGACGAGCCTTCGCCATCCCCTCCACGGCCCTGTCTGTTACAGCACAGGGGACGGTTACAGCACTAGGGACACCCCAGAAAGCTTTAGGGTGCCAAGCCTTGAGCACATACCCAGGCACAGCGTAGGGACAGCTCGGTGTGACCCGCACACGGGCTGGCAGGAGCCTCCCTCCCAGCACAGCCTCCTCGCCACGGGCACAGCCAGGCAAGACGTGGTGCCGCAGAGCACGGGCACCGGCCACCCCAGCCCCTTGGCTCCCACCAGCACCGTGCCGGTGTCACCGACAGCCACCAAGCCCCGAGTGCCAGGGCAACTTTTGGAGAGGGAACACCACTGGCGGAGCACCCGGCCGCTGGCGGCGATGGGATCCGGTTGTCATAGCAACCGCCGGTTCATCCTGGGTACCAGCTCCTCTCCCGCTGCTGGCGACACAGTCGGGGTCTGTGAGGAAGATGGGGGGGTGGCAGCTCAGGCTGGCCCCTCTGGGACGCAGCCAGACCCCTGGGGGTCACCAGCCCTGGCAAGACAACAGCTTGTCCCCGGTGCAACGGGGACACTGGTGTCACCTACAGCAGGGACACACTCAGGGCCTCTCCGCAAACAGCGCTTGGCAAAGACGCCGCTGGGAGGGCTCCAAGGGGGACGTGGCACCCGTCACCGCCGTCACCGGTGTGTCCTCGACCCTGCAAAGCGCAGCGCCACCCCGGCTCGGTCGGGGGTCCGGGAGCTCCTGCAGCCGTTCCCGCCCGGGCGGTGGGTGGGAGCGCGGCCCCGGCTGGCACCGAGCCCGGGAACAACCCTCCCGCCGCGCTGGAGCCCCCGGTGCACCTGCGCCCGCCGCCTCGCCAGCGCGGCATGGCACACAGGGCTCTCCCCGGGGACGGCGAGAGCCGCCAGGACTGACTCACGGAGCGGCCGTCCCCGGCCACCTCCCTTTCTGTTTGGAAAGCTCCGCTCCTTTTAGCTGCTTTGTTTGAAAAATTGTTTATAAAAATGCTCCAAGCTGTCAAGGGAGATCCTCAGGCATTTAACAAGCTGACAGCCCATTCCTTCCTGGAAAAGGGTGTTAAAAATAAACAAATTAGCAAGAGGAAAGAGGCAGGGAGCCTTTTGACTGCGGGGGGGGGGGGGGGGGGGGGGAGGAGAGCGGAGCGGGACGGGACGGGGCGGGCGGGCGACGGGGCGGGGGGGGGGGGGGGGGGGGGGGGGGCGGGGGGGGGGGGGGTTGCAACAGGCCAGGTCGGGAAGGGAAGGAGCAAAGTGGGGATTCGGGCAGGTTCCCCCTGCGCCAGCCCCTCTCAGCCCTGCACCTGCGGCACATTGCTGCGGGTTTCCATGGAAACCCCGGCACGGTCCAGTGGTACCCGTCGGGGCATCCCCAGCATCCCCAGCACTGGCTCCGGCTGGGGAAGGAGCACGCGCCTCGGCCACCGCGGCTCCGGACAGGCAAAGCACAAGGGAAGCCACCAAGAAGCCACGAAGGGGAAGGACTTTCCCAAAACCAAGCGCACAAAAAGCCCCGGGCACCCAAGGGCAGGGCTGAGGGGGTGCTGTGCCCCCCCCAAAACCTCCCCAACTGGAGCCGGCAGCCTCACCGGCACCGCGCTCCGTCACGCACCGCAGCGACAAACGCGGCACTGGCTGGGGACACCCCACTCCGCACCCCCCGGGGCACCGCGGCGGGGACAGACCCTGCCCCAGGGTGCAGCCCGGAGCCATCCCCAGGGACCAGTCCCCGCTGCCCCCGGGAGCGGGTCAGGCTCTGCCTCGGGCACAGGGAGGGGGAGGCCCGGTGGCGTTGCTGGCAGCTCCCTGCACACGCTCAGCCTAACGAAGAGCGAGTGACACACGCAATTAGCGGCAGCTCGTGGCCCGGCAGCACCAAGCAGAGCCGGGAGGCAGCAGGGATAGGAGGATCCTGCTCACCTGCAGCCCTGGCTGGCGGGTGATGGGCTCAGGGACACCCCAGGGACATGTCACCACCCCAGCCCATCAGTGACAGCACAGGCAGGGGACAGGCACGACCCCAGGATCTGGACCCAGGGCCCTCGGCACAGCAATGCCCCAGTCCTGGAGAAACTGAGGCACAGGGAGAGCTGCAAATGTCCTGAAGGACTCGGCAATTAACACAATTAATACTGAGGGAAGAGGCTGAAGCTGATGTCGAGCCCTTCCCAGAGTCTGGGGAGGTCTGGCAATGCCACCCAGGGCGAGTGCAGCCCCCCCTTGGGCAGGAGGGATGAGAAGCTGAGGATTTACAGCTCTGCCTGCCCTGCTTCCATCCCCGGCCGGATTATCAGCAATCCCTTTATAAGCACCTAAGAGATAATAGGGCGATCAGCAGCCAGCACGGCTTTGGCCAGAGGAAATCAAGTCAAACCGATCTCATTCCCTTCACCGCCAGCGTACCCAGCCCAGCGGTCAAACCGGGGCCGCACGGCGGGACCGTGGCGAGGTTCAGCACCGGGACCCTGCGCTTGCTCAGGGACCGGGACCCCTCAGAGGGACGGCAGCGGGGATTTTGAAGGAGCAGGAGAGGCACAGAGCCCCGCACGCCGCTGGGGTGGACGCTGGGTTTGCCCAACCCACTCCCAAGAACAACAAGGGGAGGAAGCCAGCGAGCGCCAGGGCACGGCCCCCCCGCCTGACCCCAGCTGCCACCACCCTGGGGTAAATATTATTCTAGTGAAAAAACAGAACGCTCAAATATTTGTTTTGAACAAGCCACCACGGGGGCCGGTCCCCGAGCTGAAGGGGTGGCTCCCGGGAAGGTCCCTTGCGGGCAGGGGGCAGGCAGGGGGCTGCCCCGGCCCCCCCTGGAGCAGGATGAGGTGGGATCTTTGGTCCACCAAAACACCAGGCACTCGGGGTCAGGGGCTTTGGCGTCCCTTCCTGGGATGCTCCTTCTCCTGCCTGGTGGTTCCTGCCACCCCCAAAACTCACCAGCATCGAGCCGATGCCGGATCCCGCAGGGAAGCCAGCCTTCCTGGAGCAAACTGGGAGCCCTTTAATTTCCCAGCAAAGCCAAGGGCGGGCAGGGAGGAAGAGAGTGGGCAGCCCTGATTAGGAAAGGATTTCACAGCTTTCCTTGGCACCTCAGCCGGTCCAAGCCCTTCCTGGCCGCAGCCTCCCCCAGCAAACCCCTCGCTGCCCAGCCTCACCACCCCCCCTCCCCCCCTCGCTGCCCCCCAAGACCCCAGCGAGGAGGGGGGAGGCTCCACGCAGGCTGGGAGCTTGGGCATCGCATCCCACTGGAGCGGCCGGCAAACCCCACAGCCCCCCGGGCCACCCGCCCCAGCAGCCCCTCGCCTGGCACCGGCGACGCCGGGACCTACCTGCACCTCCCGTGTGTGGTAGGCGATGATGAGGCCCAGGAGGATGACGGTGGAGAGGCTGATAAGGCATTTCAGGGCCAGGGAGAACATGGAGTCCTGCAGGGCGAGAGCAGGGCGGGCGTTAGGGGGGATGTGGCCACGGGACCCTGTCGGTGCCTGTCACCCCCAGGGAGATGCTGCAACACCTGCCCCCCCCTTCCCTGGCACTTCGGCCACCCCAGCTGCCCCCCGAGCGGGCAGGGCACCGCTGGCACCGCCGGCACCGTGGGCAAGAGCTGCCTTTTCTCCGAAACATTTCCTTAATCCAGTTCCACCAAGTGTATAATTACCGGCCGCCCCTCGCTGGGACACACATCACCAGCGCCCCGACCGCAGCCAGCCTGAGCCCAACATTATGGCACCCTACTGGATGGTCTAATTAGATCCTCCTGCTAATTAGCTCTATGTAAATTAAACCAGATCCTGATTGACTGGCGACCAAAGCGGCTGCTCCTCGGGGACCCTGCCAGGAGGAACAGGATTCACCACCTCCCCTCCTCTGGACCCTGTTTCAGTCACCAACACGCCCATGTCCTGTGGCTGCCATGGGTCCCCCATGGGTGCTATGGATGCCCTATAGGTGCTGTGGGTCCCATGGGTGCTCTGTAGGTGCTATGGATGCCCTGTGGGTCCCATGGGTGCCCTGTGGGTGCTGTGGGCCCCATGGGTGCCGTACCGAGGGGCACGAGGAGGAAGCAGAGGTAGCACCCACCGAGAACCAGCAGCCCCTCGCCGAGGTGTTACCTCCAAACCAACCCGCTCTGCCGCCCATCCCCACACCTCCACCCCATCCCCAGCGCGCTGAGACCTGGCACACTCGTGGCACCCTTGAGGCACCGGCACGCTCATGAAACACCGGCACCCAGCACACTCATGGCATGCTGAGACCTGGCGCGCTCGTGACACAGGCGAGATGCCGGCATCGCTCGCCACATGCTGAGACCCGGCGTGCTCATAACATGCCGAGACCCAGCAACCTCACGACATAACATCCCCCATCCTTTGCTCCCCCCCAGGCTGCCTTCAGCCTCGCTCCTCTCCCTCTCCCCGGGGGCGAAGGGGGACTATTTGCCAGCGGCGGTGGCGCATTGTTAAGGAGACTTGGCTCCGGGGCCAGGCAATTGTGTGGATATAATGGCTGGTGCTGAGAGAAGTGCCGGGGACCAAACAACGGCTATTAATAGCCAAACTCCAGGGCAGGGCTCATGCCAAGGCTGCTCCGGCCAGAAACACTCCCTGGGGGGGGCGGTGGGTCCACGGGTGGCGCAGCCGCCGCGACCGCGGCGGCTGCACCACCCGTGGACCCACCGGCCCCCCCAGGGAGCGTTATCAGTGGTGCTGGTGGCTGTGGGATGCAGTGGTGCCATGGTGGAGGAGGGAGGACCCCCCCCATCTTGCCCCACACCCTTAGGACCAGCCAAAACCCAGCCACCCGCATCCCTGCTTGAACCCCATCACCCTCCGGGCCTGAGGAGCGGGGTGGCCATGGGGCACCCACAATCCCCCCTTGGCATCACCTACCGGCCCCGGCCACCGGTGCTCCTCCGGTCACGGCCAGAGAGCTCTGGTTTCCCACCCAAGGCCTTCTTGTGGGGGGGGGGATGGATTTATAGATGGTCGCTGGCTGCCATAGCTCCGGCAAAGCCCCTGGGGTGGTGGGGTCCCCCCCTCCCGGGTTGTTGGCACAAGCAGGGTGGTGAGCAGCAGGTGCCAGGGCAGGGGTTGGCGGGGCTGCGGGGTGGCTGCACGGTGACAGCGCTGACTCATGGGGGTCTCCCCCGGCTGACACAGCAGCTCCGGGGCTGGCGAGCGTGGCAGCGGCGCTGCCGGCAGCACCGGCGAGGGCGGCCGGTTCCCCACACCCCGGTGCCGGGCACGGGCCCAGGGAGCCCGGTGAGGGCAGCCGCGGCTCAATTCTTGTGGGGGGGGGGATGGATTTATAGATGGTCGCTGGCTGCCATAGCTCCGGCAAAGCCCCTGGGGTGGTGGGGTCCCCCCCTCCCGGGTTGTTGGCACAAGCAGGGTGGTGAGCAGCAGGTGCCAGGGCAGGGGTTGGCGGGGCTGCGGGGTGGCTGCACGGTGACAGCGCTGACTCATGGGGGTCTCCCCCGGCTGACACAGCAGCTCCGGGGCTGGCGAGCGTGGCAGCGGCGCTGCCGGCAGCACCGGCGAGGGCGGCCGGTTCCCCACACCCCGGTGCCGGGCACGGGCCCAGGGAGCCCGGTGAGGGCAGCCGCGGCTCAACAGGTAGCGGGTGTGGGTGTGGGACAGTGGTTCGGCCCCAGTTCTACTGGAGGGGAGCGGGAACCACCGGGGAAGAGGCTCCGTGGTGAAGCCAAGCGAAGCATCCTCCTCCCTCGGCGGGGAAGCCGGGGATGAGGGCTTGGCCGGAGCAGAGGGAACCGCTGCCGGCAGCGCCCGCGCTCCCACTGACGCCGGCGGCTGCAGGCAGCTGGGACTCAGGACCCCCCCGCCACCGGCTGTGGGGAGGCAGCGGGGCCCCCCGCGCCCACGGGACCCCCAACTGTGTCCCTCCCTCCTTCTCTCCCTCCCTCCCTCCACCTGCTCCAGCTCCATCGTCTCTTCCCACCCGCGCCGCCCTCCCCACCGCCCGAG